AGAGGGGCTAGATCACGAGATAAACTTTTGTAGAAAGGAGATATATAATTCAAACTTCCCAAAAATCTTTGTAATTGAGTCCTGTCAGTAATAACATCAGGAAATTTTGAAGCAAAATCAATCGCTCTTTGTATCGGGGTAATTTTTCCTTGGCAAATATTATGGCCTAAAAATCGAACATTGGTTTGGAATAGACTCATTTTTGGTTTAGAAATAACTAGGCCGTTTTGTATTACAATTTTCTTAAAAATATCAAGATGCTTAATATGCATCTCTAATGTTTTAGAAAATACTAATATGTCATCAATATAAACGACGATAAAATCTAGATAAGGGTTAAAAATATCCTTCATAATTTTCTGAAATTCAGAAGGGACATTTTTAAACCAAAAGGCATGACGTTCCAATTATATTGACCAAATGGAACATTAAAAGCAGTTCTATAAGTATGTTCTTTAAAAATTTGGATTTGCCAATATCCAGATTTTAAATCGAATTTTGAAAATATATTGGCGTCATATAATCTAGATAGCAGATCTCTTTTATTGGGGATAGGATATCTAATCCATTTCAGATGCTTATTCAAAGGTTTATAATTTATAACTAATATAGGAATACCACGTTCCTTTTCCGCAGCATTATTAACATAAAAGGCAGAACATGACCAAGGAGATTTTGAGGGTTTTATCAAACCCTTTTCTAACAAATTATCAATTTCATGCTCAATTTCTAACTAATCGTTTCCTGAACCTTAGCAGATTGTAAAGTATCGAATATATTCATGCTCAATATTTCTAATTGTAATGAATCAACATGCCTTTTTTCATATTAATCAAGGCGTTAATATCTCTAGTTACGAGATCTGTAACAAAATAATAACTTATCTCTTCATCTTGATAAGTAGCAGAAAAACCCTGTGCATCTATGTTATTAAAATGGTAAATAACATTAATAAAAGGGGTTCCAAGTATAATCGGAGGGTATAACTGGTTTTTTTACCAAAAAGAATAAATGAGGAATACAAACTCTATTTTGGCAAATACGAGTATTTGGTAATTTATACTCTATATCTAAAGCATGACCAGAAGCAGATTTTACCAAATGAGTGGTCTTTTGAAAATATTTAGTAGGAACAAGACCCTCTTGAATACAACTTACATCTGCTCCACTATCAATCATTGCTACATCAGTTAGAGAGAAACTATTATCAATCAAGATAGTACATTTAATGTACCACTTATGAGCCGTAACAACCTGCATCATTCCTAAAAACATATCAGAATTTTCATTAATCGAATCAATCTTATCAGAAATTTCTTTTCCCTTTTCATTTGAAAATTCGGAAATTCCTTTAGCCGAAAAATCAGTTGGAAAATCAGTTAGAGAATTATTTTTCTCAATTTGAGTAATCCGGTGATCACAAATCATTTGATTTTGTTTAAGAGACTTAATATCTCTTTTCAAATTTTCAATTTCGATTTTCAAATCATCAAACGAAGTATCTCTGCTTGGCGTATTTGTCTTATGAAGACGTTTATTAACTTCAGACAAAGAATATGGCGCAAAATATTCAAATTCGTTTTTTGGTCTTTCAAAAAGCTTTGAACCACTAGAACTAGAACTTTCAGTCAAATTTATAATTTTTTTACGAAGTTTTTCATCAGTAATTTCCTTTAAAAGTTCTATTACATTGTCAGATGTAATAGTTTTTATATTCAAATCTTGAAATTGTGATTGCAATTTATAAAACTCATCATCATCGCAAGTGCAAATATCACCTTTACAAGCGGTGCAAGTATTATCCAAATCTTTACTACTTTCAGATAAATCTATCAGATCAATCTCAACTTCGGACTCAGTCTCAGAACAAGTATAATCAGAATCTGATCCGGAAGTGTATAACAAGTAATAAACTTTGTCACGTAACCCATCGTCTAGTTCTAAGGCCTTTAGCTTTTGAAGCTTGCAATTTGGAGCGATATGACCAAATTTTCCACACTTATAACACTTAATATCAGCGAGATCTCTCTTTGATCTATTCTTCGTAAATCGAGTAGATTTCTGATGCGCTTTTCTAGTATCACGCTCTTCCTTAGATCTATATCTAGACCTCTTTTTCTTATACGGGCTATCAGGGTTAGGATACCTATGATATCTGTTTTTCTTCTTCTTCTTCTTCTTACTTTGAGTAGAGGTTCCGGGTAAACCGAACTGGGTACAGAAGTCACCTAATTGAGATTTCTCTTTAAGCTTATCAATCTTAAGCTGTCTAGAAAGCTTCAACTCATTACACAAGTTTAATCCTTCTTGTGTACACACTCCTATAAGTTTACCATAGGTATAATTTCCATACAGAATTTCACTGTAACTACCTCTTAACGCTTTTCTTACTCTTTCAGCGAATAAGGAGGGAAGACCGTCTATAAACTTAGCTTTCCAATGTTCATACTTGTTTTCGGGTAGCTCCATAAACCTACTCATAAAAGTATCTTTGTACCATCTAAATTCACTAAGGGTCCTACATCTAAGCCCATTTAGTAAAGTACGGACGGTCTCATGCTGATTGGTAAATCTACCGTTAAAATGTTCTAGAATTGTAAGGATAAGGGTATAAACAACATCTTCTCTACCTTTAACTAGAGCCATGCCTATATTATCAACCCCTTAGTCAACGACGTTCGCATTAATAACCGTTGCCTTTTCTTCAACAGATAGATAGTTATCCCACCAGCCACAAAGCTGGCCAGTAAAGCCTGCAATAATCATTTTGCAAATAGTTCTACCTGTGTTCTTAACACTTTTACAGATAGTTGAGTACATAAGCATTCTATGTACAAGAATAGTTAACTGTCTATCAGTTAAGCCATCAAGATTCCATTCATAAATTTCAGAACCGCTGTAAGACGTATTAGTCTGATTCCAATCGCGTTCCTCTATTAACACATCTTGAGGAGTAGGACGAGAATAATAGTAAGTTTGCATCGGGTATTTGTGGGCATACTTACTATTGGGTTTAATTAAACCCTTGAGCTTATTAAGCTCTGACCACGTTTCAGTTTTGTAATCGGAGGCCTTTGAACATGAGTAAGAACTGTTTGATCAACAGGTTTGATTCCCGAAGTGGAGGCAATATCGGTTGGTCCTTTGTTAGTACTCATCTTCTTTATTAAAGCAGTCAAATCATCCAATTTTTTATCAAGAGAACCGACATGTTCTCCTAAAATGGTTACATATAAACCCAAATAATTGTTTTGAGAAATCAATTTATTAATTTCTGCGATACTAACAACTGCAACATTATCGTCAACAATTTTTTGAAAAGCAGTGAAGGTAATACCAGTATTATTAGGTAAAATAAAGGGGGCTTGAGGAGGGTAAATGACTTTAGTAATATTACCACTCACATCTTTATAAGATCTCTCTAACACCTTTATATAAAGAGGCAAATACGTTGTTATAAACCAAGGAACAAAATACATAATTTGATTATGCAAAGCACAATTTTCGTAAAATTCTTGAGAAATACTGTTTAAATCTTCTTTGCTATAAGTATCAAAAAACCAAGTTTTAAACTGGCTCCATTTATCACTAAAAAATTCCTTTTGAATCTATTTTCTTGCCCGTGAACCTGGGCTAAAATCAATTTGGTGTAGAATCATTAAGTATCATTGGGGTCAAAATCCATTTCGGATACAGAAAGAATATCCTTATCAGAAATATTGTCATTGTCTTGAACAATATTTGTTTGTTGATTAATTTTAACCCTTTCGACAGACTTATTACTCCCCTTTGTAGTGATAGTGTGTAACGATGCTGTACGATTTCGAGCTGGACCATAGACTGGCTCGACAGGAGAAATATGTTGAAGAGCAGGTAAAAGTCTATGATTAGAAAACGAATGTCAATTATAAAAAGTAGACTTATCATCAAATTAAATACAAATCCTACCATCCAGGTTTTGAGTAACATGCGAACAATCAGTATTTGACAAGTCATTAGTAATCTGGCTTGGGGATATAACCGAATTTAAAGTCCAAGTAGTTGGGAAATTAAATTCTTCCCACCTAATAGGTCTCCTAGTGGTGACCTTGGACCTTGCAAAATTGGTTTCTACAAATATGGTCTGATCTGATGTATCGTATAACTTACATCGAGGATTTAAAGTAGACAATAATTTAAAATATATCCTATAAGATAAACATATAAGTTCAGAACCAGGCACATAATTATGATGATGATTTCTGGACTTAGCATGGATCGGGCTGCGCGCCGCAGCAGTGTTATATTGATATTGAGGCCGAGAGTCTGGTTGATTACATTGATATTGAGGCTGGAGGCCTGGTTGATTACATTGATATTGAGGTCGAGAGCCTGGGTGATTATACTGATATTGATATGAGGCCGAGGGCCTAGATTTGATGCCACGAGATGGCTTGATATTGAGCTTGGGCTGTAGGAGCCCCTCCGGAGTCTGTACACAC